AAATAGGTCCAGCAGGGTGGGTGGGATAGGGCAGTCGCTGGAGCTGCTAATCAAATACATGATGTCTACCCCTGATGATACAAAGCAAAGAGAACAACCCTCCAAAAAGGAAGAGGAAGCAAATGTCTCATGTCCTAAGTGACTAGTGGCTAGTGGTATATTGATTTCTTTGAAGTTAAGAGAAAAACCATGCTATGCTGTACAATATGGCAACTTTTTTATTAACTGTTTTCACGTGAAATAATAAATAAATGTGATCTGTAAAATTTCCTCCTGCAAGGAAAGTGGGTGTGGCCAAAATTACAGTGTGCTTTGCACACCTAATTAACTATAATTTGTGTAGCTAATCACCATACCCATATCCTAGATACACTCTAAAACATGTAATATAACGAGAGAAAAATCTGACAGGCTACTCGTATTAAATCTGTACACTTGAAACTGGCACCGAGTATGGCTCTGTGAATACACCTTCATTATGAAAGAATGTAGCATTGGCTTAAATTCTTCCATTGTAAATTGGTATTACTGTGCTGCTAGGGAAGGAGTGGGTCAACTTCTAAAAAGCTTAAGATAGGTTCCTGACATTCTTAGGCAAGGGAAGGAATGTCTATAAGGTAAATTGCAGCAGCATATGAAGGATTTGCACAGTCTTCGTCCATGTTTATCTTCTGGATCCTGTGGATTAATCTTGTATGTCTACATGCTCTGGAAGCTCTTTAACAAAAGAAAACTCATCCTTAGAGAAGTGTGACATGACATGAAATAATCTTAATCAAATGGTAAATGGCTTGAGAAACAACAGAGTATATAATGAGCTGAACCAAGTAATGTCTATGATTAGCAAGGGAATTTGAAATTTTGTGAGAATATGAAAATTCTCTCATCCATGTTAGGAATGGTTGTTGACTTCTGATGACTCTACCAAACTGCCATTTGTGCAAGTGAGTACAGTAAACTTCCACAACTTCAGAACACCATTTGGCACATCACCAATCTCTAAGAGCTCTCTTTTAGACCACCTGGTCACCTGTGCATGGTCAGCCATACCTAAATTTAGCAAACTGGCTTAGCCATTTAAAGAAAGGCAAGCCAGTTTAATAAAAATGGGCCACTCAGAGTTACTGCCACATGCCAGTCGGCGTTATGCAAAATGGCCCATTATGGGCCAAATTTTAGGGAAACTTTTAGCAGAGCTAGGCTATGACTAAGTTTACACAATTGTTGAACAATCTTTAGTATTACGTAGAAAGATTTGAAGTGATGGTAAGTTAGAGGCCCTAGCTGTAAACCTATATCTTGCCATTTCTAGTGTTAAGTTAAATTATTTTTCCTAATGATAATAAACTCAGTCAGTTATTGATCGCTGTCTCAACTACATACAACAGAAGGAACAAAATTGCCTTCAGCAAGAGCATCAAACACATGTAGAGGTATTTTGAATCAAAGAGTGTTGCTGTTAAAAAAGGCCTTCGAGAATTTGTAGTTCCTTAGCCAGAGGAATTATTTGACAAACCAACCAATGAGATAGGCAGTATCGGACCAGTTTTCGGCAAAAGACTTGAATAACTAGGATATGAGACAGCTTACACAATTGTCAGATAATACTTAGTTTTTAAAGAAGGTACAAAGTTTGAAGTAAGATGCATGTACAAAGCACAGGTGCCAAGTGCCAACAGTAGCCAACAATTCTATAGAATGCACAAAGCAATTACTGAATGATGAAAAGGTATTTATTGACTCATATCCGAAATTCATTGACATATATAATTTCTTTAATTGGTATTTACTACAGACTCTACAAGAAATTGAATTAAAAATTCAAACTATCCAGCAGGAGTTAAATACCGTAAGCATCAAAGCACACATGTAATTTGTAATAATACAGCCCTTTACACTACAGGTATAAGGTAAGTTTTAAAAAGTGAAAGTTACTTATAATTGATTAAAAAACCTCTCCACAAGAAACCTGTAACATCATTCGGAGGAATAGGATCAATATTAGGAAAGTGGTTATTATCCCTGGGATATGATAAAAATTGCAAGGTTTGGGGACAATACCAAGTTTTAGAAAAAAAGAGAAAAAACTCTAATAAAATTTAATCAAAAATTCAATCCATCCAGCAAGAATTAGATACCTTAAGCATCAAAGAAGAAAGAATGAAGAAGCAAGCGACAGTGAGCAAGTTAGGAGAATGAATATTAATAATTTATATGCACATATAAAAGTTTGCCTTGTATTAATAAAAATAGATCGGTTGTAGCTACGGTGCTAACGTATGTCAACAATTAGAAAGAAAGGCTTTCTTTCTATAAATGAATGGTCCAGCTCATCAATTAACCATCAAATAGAACCTTTTCTCAGTTCAAGTCGCATTCTGTTTTCAAGATTGTTTTTTGCTTGTCTAGGGAAATGGTGAGAACAGGAAAGCAGGAAAAAACTTACCTTAGGAAGGATCAAATTCGCCTCCAGCAAGAGCATGAAATAGATAGAGGTATTTTCAATTGACAAGAGTCTTGTTGTCAAAAAATGGACAGCTGAAGACATACCTTAAAACATGAAAAGGACAAATGATGAACTATTTTTCAAAGCTAAAAGTTACAAGAAAGAATGTGGTAGTAAGGATAAAATAATAAATGACACCAAAGTAGACAATTAGAGACTTTAATTTGATTAAAGGTATCCTATGCAATGACTGGCACAAATAAAATCTATACGCCTATAGCATGGGCAAGGGCCCCAAATACAATATCCACAAAAATTACAATCACAACAGCCAACCTGATGAGGATCTGTGAGTATAATGTAAACTTCTGAATTTACCTTCAAGCCTGAAGAAACTGGTTGGCTCTGCAAAGCTCTCCTTTATTAAACCATTGCAGTGCAATCTGTCAGTTTCCCTGCAGTATGATGATTACAGCCTGCAATTAGCTGGTAGTGCTCATTTGCATGTATATTTTATGTTCCTCCACCTAAGCAATACTTAGTGTTTTCACTACTATTTTAGGCAACTATGGCAGATACATGATCTTTCTTGAAGAGTGAAGCATGTTTGCAGTTCCTTATGGAGGCATTATCTGACAAACCTGTTACTGCCACCAGTAATGTATAGCACAATGAATCAAACAAACTCTCCTCCACTCCCTCTCTCTATCAGTAATGAGGAGGATGTAAGAAGTTGTTTCTAAATGAATCCGGAACTCTCTGTGGACTATTGTAATTATATATTATGTGTGTATTTAAGTATATTCTAGAACAATCATGTAAAGTATTCTTGTATGTTATAGAACCTTCTGGACATTTATAAGATCTATATAAGTGTGTTGTTTTTGAGTGTTAGTTTTAGTTTTTGTTAGTTTTTGTTTTTGTTTTGAGCTCAGTTGAGTTTCGTGTTGATTAAGAAATAAGTTTGGTGAACAGATAGTTAGGAGCGTCTGTTACAGAGGACTATTGGCCATATCATAAAGAAATCGTCAAAAATTGGATAAGACAAAACTTATTCCATAGTCAGGCAATATTTAGTAATGAAAAATACAACATGCTTCAAGAGTGGATCGCAGGTAGCTGAAGGGCAAATACTCACCTACAGACCTCAAGTTATTTTTCACTCCCCAATAAAGAAGGATTTATTCCATTTGCTCATTAAATATTTGAAGAAATTTTTAAAATATAAGTTTTCAAGGCATTTCAATTTCTAGTGAGGTGCAAATTTAGCTAAAAAAACAAAAAATCTGTTGACAGAGCACCAGCTCTAGCAACAAACAAGAGTTTGTTGATAAAGCCTCCTTTCCCCAAATCAAACAACCTGTAGAATGGGAAGTCGGTTCAAGGTCAAGGTGTCCATGGGGTTTTACAGTGCAAAAAGTAGTGAGGTAAAATAAACCCATAGAAACTGAGACTGACGTATTGACAGAATTGGAGCTCTAATAGAATTGGAGCTCTAATAGAATCAGAGAAATCCATCATACAATCCAGAAAACCCTCACTGGAGTGCTGCACTGACTGGAGGAAATGGAGCATCAGCTAAGCAAGTTGATCAACTTATGCCGTCCCCTTTTCAAGTTCCCTTTCAGCTGCTTCCACAACTTCATTCTCCGGGTCATACAAATTTATAAATCAATTATTGGAGCGAAAAACATAAGGTCTTAAAATGTAAAAATAAATCATTCAAGGATAAGAACATGACCAGAAATACACTTCCACAAGGATAAGGACACAAAGGTTTCTTTTAGTTATGGCTGTGTTCATTCCTTTTCTGTCTGACTTGTCTTATTCTTCAGTGGTGCTGATGGGAGCTGAACCACAGGGGAAGATTATAAGTAGAGGAAGATTATAAAAATAGAACAATAAAATTATAGTCTTGAAAAGTCTGAATACCGAAGTAACAGGGAGAGATGAAGGGACAGGCCACTCACACTCACTTCAAACTGATACTTGTGATTTTCTAATGAAAAGGAGTTGGAGAATGAAGAGGTAATCTAATTTTGTATTATTTGGATTATTATGTAATAATACTTAGTGCTGTGTCTGCTTCGAACCTATTGGTAATGCACATAGTGAGCCACAATGTTACGTCATGTTATTCATGTCATGTTTTGTTACGTCACTGCTGCTATTACACTTCTAAATTCTTGCTTCAGAAAGCTACCATTCTCTAGCCCTACAGCCTCTGATTTTGCTGTTTTATGTATAAGAAATGAAGTAGCTCAATTAATCTCAGATGAACCATAAAATTTTCTGGTGAATTAGGTAGTAATGCTGTGGGTCTCTGGAAGAAACTTTTCACTCTTTTAAAAAGTGAAGTCAAGCCCAAGTACATAGATAGTCTCGGCTACATCAATCACAACATATGTATGCTGTTATTATTATTATATACATAGTAACAATTTATAATGCAGGAAAATGTTGAAAATAGCTCAAAAGTCACACAAAGGTTATGGGATAGTTTTGACAAACAGGCAGTTGCATCATGGCGCAATCATGTAATGCCAATAAATCATTTAAAATTATGGCGACACAAAATCTGATAATGCACTGATATATAAAACTAAATGAGGATGGACCAACAGAGAATTTTTGAGGGAGCCAAAGACACACATAATTATGAAAGTGTCAAATAATGTAAATCAATATAATATAAAAACTATTTTCACAAGAAGTTCTTGTTCAACCTGTTAGTGCAGTGCTTATGCACTCTTTAACTTTTGATTTCTTTGATATTTCTTTATGCTACAGATACTATAACCATGCCCTTCAGAAACTAGAATTTCTTTGCCAATGAGAAAGGATACTCAACTGCATGTGGTTGTTTCCAAACCATCCTTCCCATCTATTATCTATGGCTCAGTGAACAATGTCCTTTCACTGTTGGGACAGTCTTGATTAACTGAACACTTATAAAATTCATTTACTTTTTACTCCTAGCCTAAACCACTTGCAAGGACATAACAGCAACTGTAAAAGGTGAAGTAATTGACATAGTTGTCCAGCTCAGTATGAAAGGATTTTTGGTGAGCAGGATGATAGGAGAAAGCTAGGTGACCTCGTCACAGAAGACATCAGAATGTTTAGAAGCAGTGTCAATGAAGGCTTGCTTCCTCAGGCATATATATGCAAAGATGAACTATCCCCAGAACATTTGAAGAGCAAGTATCTCTACAAGAAATTAAACTCAAACTCCAACAGATTCAAGAATTAAATACCGTAAGCATCAAATTATGAAGAAGTCATTTCATTTGTTGATTAAATATTTCAACAAATATAAAAAATAGTTTTCAAGGCATTTTAATTTTCAGTGAGGCCGAGTCTCCAGCAAATTTAACTAAAAGATATTGATAAGTATCTGTCAACTAAGCCTCCTTTCCCCTAACAAAAGGAAACGTAGAATGAGAAGCGAGTTCGTCTTCTGATGCTCCCAAACTCACTTTGGATTACCTCAGAAATGGAGTACCACTCGGCGGACAGCAACCCAGAACATCTGAAATTTCCCAAGTGAATATTAATAAATTATTTATTTACTTATCTATTGCCACTTTGTGCCACTTCCTATTAGGTATCTCATTGCTATAAGTCTGGAGCAATAAAGTTTTGCAAGGTGTCCAAGTAGGTCAATGCCTGCAATTGCTGTGAGAGAAAAAATATCAGCAAGCTTTTTTCAAAAATTTAAAAAGGCCTAACATGCCCCATAACATACCATACCCCATGCCAAGCAAGCTCAAAAAGAGTATCAATAGACTTGACATTTTAAAAAGAGCTAAAAAAGAGATTAAAGTAAGTCTGTTTTTATAAGATAAACCATTCCTGTATAAGAACATGACCAGAAATACACCTCTTACAGGACAAGGACTAGCTGAAAATGCACTCTCCATCTTGGCTCCATTCCTTTAAAAATTTGGAGAAGGCAGTTTACATGTGTTGCTCTAAAAAACCAAAAGGAATTGAATGGTAATATATTCATACAATTAGCTGGCCAAGGCTCTACTTTTTCATGTGAAAGTGTGAGTTACCCTTGGCCATTATTGGTCTCCATTTCTTTGAGATATCAATTTCTATAACAAATAATTTACTTCTAATGTTGCGTGTACTGTATATTTATTTTTTATTGTGGATGCATGATAAATTTACCGAAATAGTAAATTTCATCCTATATGTCAGAAGGCTGATAAATTGCTGGATAGTAAGCAAGTGCAATAAGTAAATAACTCTTATACGTACTTTGTTGCAGGTCATTAAAGAAATTTACATGCACATTTGGAGGAAGAGGAGAACTGAGGAGGCAGAGGGGCCTCATTAGCTACATAGTACATTTTACAGACTAATAACTTTAGTAATTAGTAGATTAATGTATATGTAGATACTATAAAAATGTTCATTTGATGATTAAGTTATTAAAGTTAATCAAGGTTAACTCAATCAGCTATTTAAGCTAGTGCGTGGGTGGCTCGGACTCAAGTTTCTGACTGGAGTAGTTTCTGCAGCAAGTTCTGTTGTACTAAGCTTTCTCTTTCTTTTGGTTTTGTCTCTAGTGTTCTAGTCATTTCTGTGCTCATGGCATTGTCTGCGTGGACGTCAGGGAGAACAACTACTGTGACGAGCAGTGCCGCTGGTTCCAGCTCATCGAGGACGTCAACAACGACTACGTCGACCTCATCCACAGTTACCTCTCCCGGTTCTGGAGAGCCGGTTCTCTTCTCTGCGCTGGCCACGATGATATCAAGGGCCGTGATGGAGGGGATTGTTGCAGCCTCTGCCACTGCTGGAGCTGCCTTGCCGAGCTCCTTACCAGGACCCTCATCCTCAGCTGGTGAGTATACTTAGTTGTCTGTAGTGTTTGGAACCGTCCCGCCTGGTAATTATTCCGGGCTAACTGTTCTCACCTCTCCCTGGTCAGTGTCACCAGCTGTCATGGCTGTCCCTCCAGCCCCCTCTGGGAGCCCTTTATGAGAGCTGGCCTTGCCCACTGAGAGGGGGTGGGTATAGTGTTCGGAGAGTCGGGGAAGAGTCTGTAACTGGCTTGCCATTTAAAAAAAGGCAAGCCAGTTTAATAAAAATGGGCCACTCAGAGTTACTGCCACATGCTAGTCGGCGTTATGCAAAAGGGTCCATCATGGGCCAAATTTTAGAGAAACTTTTAGCAGAGCTAGGCTATGACCAAGCTTACGCAATTGTTGAACAATCTTTATTATTACGTTGTAAGATTTAAAGATTGGCTGGTAAAACATAGACGCAAATAGTTGCCAACAATTAGAATGTCTGGCTTCCAAAAAAGGTTGGTACTATATTAGTCTCGCCCCGCCCCTTCGCTACCTGCGGAGGAAGGGTCTGGAGACACTCAAGGTAAAAATGTGTGCTCATGCAGAGAAATTCACGTCCCAATCAGATTGCTTGAACCACGTGTAGGACAAGAAGTCATGTGACCGAAGAGCTCTGTTTAAGACAAAAGAGGAAGAATGAGGACCAAATAAAGGAAGGAAGGAGCCTGTAACGCTCCATGGACTTCTTTCTCAAAGTTTAAGAGCAGCATTACTGTGCTGCTTACTACAACGACGCTATCGCATTTATGACGTAATAATACTGTCACGTGTTTACAATAAAACGTCATCAATAAAAAGTAAATACTATGGTGCTCTATGAAAAGTTGCTGCTCTCAAATCTGCAAGAGATGTCCAAGAGACTGTACCCTCATCTTTTCTTAGCTGCAAAGCATCTGTTTAAGCTGTCTTGACGGATCTGGTCTCCTCTGTCACATGACGTAGAGCCAACCATGTGTTCTTCTTTCCACACACTTTTTGCGTGAGTGTCTCCAGACCCTTCCTCCGCTGGTAGCGAAGGGGTGGGGCGAGACTAGTACTATATATGTAAGAACAAATTCTAAAATTGATGCTCCTAGTTTATGCTGATTATCAAACTATGTTCTCTTCTCGATTTGTAGATTCAGTTCAGAATACTGATGTTTCTAGAATGTGGAAAAGATTGTGGGCAATGGCAGAAGACAATGGGCAGAATGCAGGTACAAAATCTAGAGGAATTTGCCAATAAGGTTATTCTCATTCCACCTCATCCTGTTAGTGCAGCACATTATGCACTCTCTCCACACCTTAAAAAACCTCTTTGGACAAGATGAAGTGATGGTAAGTTAGAGGCCCTAGCTGTAAACCTATATCTTGCCATTTCTAGTGTTAAGTTAAATTATTTTTCCTAATGATAATAAACTCAGTCAGTTATGATCG